CGGCGGGGGCGCCCCCGTCGGGCCGCGGGCGGCGCCACCGCCGCCGCTCCGAGACGGCCTGCTCAACAGCGCCATCAAGACGGGAAACGAGTCGGGCTCCAACATGTCGGACAGCGGATCCGTCAAGAAAGCCGGCGATAAGGACCTGAGGGCGGGAGATCGCGTTTTGGTGAGACTCTTTTTCTTCCGTGGAACAATGGATGGATGGATACCTAATTACGGAAACAATCAATAACCATTTTGAGCAGGGAGAAATGGGGGGAAAAAGTAATCAATGAAAGATACAAGATGAAAATCAATTTCATGGAATCGAAATATGTCTGTGCCCGAAGGTGGGAGGCTCCAAGATGGGGGTGATTCGCTACATTGGGGAGACGGACTTCGCCAAGGGGGAGTGGTGCGGCGTGGAGCTGGACGAGCCTCTGGGGAAGAACGACGGCGCCGTGGCTGGGACGAGGTATGCCCCCCCCACCCCAAAAACTTCTGTTAAAACTTGGACCTTTGCACCCATTGACTTCCTGTATTGATGGGATAGTTAAAAAAATATTAAAGCAAATCAATCCGCCCCTCGCCGCCCTGCAGATACTTCCAGTGTCTCCCCAAGTTCGGCCTGTTCGCTCCCATCCACAAGGTGATCCGCATCGGCTTCCCGTCCACCAGCCCGGCCAAGGCCAAGAAGAGCAAACGCGTGGCCATGGGGGTGTCGTCGCTGGCCCACAGCCCCAGCAGCTCGTCCATCAGCTCCGTCAGCTCGGTGGCCTCGTCGGTGGGCGGCCGGCCGAGCCGCGCCGGCCTGGTGAGAGAACGGCTCCCTGGTCGGGAACGACGGCTCCGTCGTTACTTTTTGCTGATGAAGCACGCGCGGCCTCAAAAACGGGGACGGCACCGCATCGATTTTGGTCGGCGGCTCACGCCCCTTTTTCTACTTTGCTTAATTGCTGGCAGCCTTTGTGATCGACTTGAGTCTCCGCCGTCCGTCGCAAAGACGCCCGCGTAAGCAGGAACGCTCGGCTTGAGTGATGGGGAACTGCCCCCCGTGATTGAGCGACATTGATTCGCTCGAAATACACTCGCTGGCAGGAAATTCTTCTCCAAAACACAAAAGATTAGAGTTTTTTTTTTTTAATCAAATAATTTTAAAGAAAAAGAATATGTGCTATACTCTGTGAGTTTGTGTTGTCTTAGTTTGAATTTTACAGTATTACTATTAAGTACATATATATACAACATGCAATTCTAAAACCATTTCATAAATACTGATTGATTGATTTTATTAGAATTCATCATGACTGCACATTATTATTCATAGTTGTTTGTTTTTTTTAAATTATTTATGGAGATTTATGATTTGTATTTAGGGGTATTTCTTTTTTGCTACATGTAAAAAGATAAATTATTCTAAAGTACCCAAATTACATAGCTATTTTAGATGTACCGTTATATTAATGTTTTTAATTTTTAATTATTTTTCAATGAAAAATTGGTAGTTTGTGTCATTTGTAATTTGTATCAATTATTTCTTATATCAATTATTCATTTAGATGAACAAGAGAATTGCTACAAATAATTCAAAGTCAGCTGCAGTGTACCACAACATGTCCTGTGTTGTTAGTTTATGATCATTAAATAGTATATCATGCATTGGCAATATTCTGCATATAATAGATCGTAATTTACCGCCCAAACATTTTAAAAAACCTCCCAGGCCTGGCAGAAATGTCTCAAACACTAACCCCGAGTGGCTTTGAAAATGCTGCATCGTGTCGTCCTTACCTGTTGATTTATTTCCCTCGTCCTTGCCTGATATGGCGCCGACTGATTTCAAGCTGACGGAGACGTCGTCGCGCTACGCCCGCAAGATCTCGGGCACCACCGCGCTGCAGGAGGCGCTGAAGGAGAAGCAGCAGCACATCGAGCAGCTGCTGGCCGAACGCGACCTGGAGCGCGCGGACATGGCCAAAGCCACGAGCCGCATCGGCGAGGTGGAGAAGGAGCTCAGCGCCCTCAAGTCGCAGCACGTGCAGGTAGCAAACGTCCACCGCGTCAAGCAGCTTGTACGGGATCGCTCCATCCTGACCTGATGTCTTTTGTAGTACGTGTCGGAGAACGAGGGCGCCCTCCATCAAGTGACAGCCGCCTTGGCCGGCATGCAGAAAGCCAAGGTGGAGCTGGCCAATCAGCTGGAGGAAGAGAAAAGGTAAGCTGGAAAGTCGCCGGCGCATGTCGCTGATCAAAACAGCAGCGCCGGGCAATGTGGAGGTTTGGCTCCTTTATCAAGCTCAGTTCTTGATTTAATTTCATTTTGAGTTTTTTTTTTTTTTTTGAAAGTTGAGGTTCAGGTGAGTTTTATCTAAACAGGTACTCAAGTAAATTTTAAAAAAAAGTCGCAGATCAACTTTCATCCGTTTATTTGATGGGCCAAACAGTCAAGCTCGCTAATATAAAATGAAAACACTCACAAGGAGGATGGCGCAGATGCTAACACTGAACTAGGCGAGTCAGCCCGACCCACTCCCGTCTCCTCACTCACTCGCTTGGCCATGAACGCGAATGGCACGCATCCAACACGAATACGACAGCGTGCAACTCTGGGCTTCATTCAACTTGTAGATTTTACATAACAATCTGCATTAAAAACACGTGACCAAAAAGGGTTTGGGGAAGGGTTGAACCAGATTGATGGCTTTTTCACTTCATTTCAGTGGGGAAAACCGATTAGCGCTTAGCATGTTAGCGTAATGCCCATGTTGTTTTTCAGGAAAGTGGAGGACCTTCAGTTCCGAGTGGAGGAGGAGTCCATCACCAAAGGAGACCTGGAGGTAAGCCAAAGTTGAGTCGTCACTTGTTGCTCGGCGGAATTTTGTTTACAACCAGCTAGCATGCGCTGCAATAACAAAAGCTTTTTTTTTTTCTTCTGGTCACATGACTTGTTGCTATGCAGAATTCAAGGGGCGACAGAATGGACGGGTTTATGTTTCCTGGTGACGTCACTTGTTGATTGGAGTGATTCAAGGATCAAACCCAATTAAAAGAACTGAAAGTCATGCTCATGAAAGGGAAATTCGGCACAAAATGTGAGATTGTGTCCACTATCATTTGTAAATCATGATCATTGATCATGATCAAAGTTTTTTTTTTTTCATTTAACCACGTTAGCAATGGGGCTCAGAATGGATTGGCTCATTTTCCCCAGCCGGCTCACTTTTTGGACTCGCAGGTGTGAGAAAGCAAACAAGCGAACCAAAAAAAAATAATAATGGGCTTGAACGTTTTATTTAGGTGCAGTAAAGCTTGTTTTTGCCAACAGGGAAGATGCAAGCATGACTCCTCATCCTTGGGGTTGGGTAAGATGACCAAGGTGACCGATTTTTTGTTTGATTTTTTTTTCTCCTCCCCAAAATGCGACCTGATCTTGTTTTGGATGCCACATTTCATAACTTTGCTGCTGTTAATTGGGAATTTCTCCATTGTGAGACGAATGAAGGTTTTCTTATTCTTATTCTTAACCTTACACACGCTTGCTCTATTTCCTCTTGTGTGCTGTGATGTCTTCCATCCAAATCAAGTAGTGGCTTCAAAGTAGAAAAGGACTTTGCGGTTGTTTCAATTGGATGCTTGACTTTCAGATGATCCGACATCGGTTGCTCTCTTCTCACAATTTTCCACTTTGGCACGGGCACGTTGCGCTAATCCAGTTTGAAATGTTTGGACGGGGTAGTACGGATTCCTCTCCTTGGGCTGATCGCATTGCTTGGAAATGACACTTGATGACGCTGTCGCCTTTTCACAGAAAAATAATTTGCTTGGATTTGTGGACTCTTCTCTTTTGCTTGGCGCTAAATAAATTGAAATGGAAAAAAAAGGAAAACAAGCAAACCAATTCATATTGTGTTTTAAAAAAGATGCAACGCCAAAACAACATTGCACTGCACTGATAATTTTATATGAAATCTTTTCCATCACCTTGTTTTTGTTTTTTTTTTTATTCTAAAGCTTATTTTTCCAAAGTCACCTGTTGCTAGGCAGAATTTTAAACATCACAGATAAGTTTACCTGCGAGTGAACAATCTCAGATTTCACAAGACACATAAGATGCGTCATTTAGCAAATTCTGATTTGGCTAATTGTTTTAGTCATGTTTTTTTTTTAAATAGTATTTTACTAATCATTTGTATTTTTCAAAATGACACCACATCTCAAATATAATAACTCCTCTGTTGTCCCTGATGACAGCAAACCACGGTGGAGGAGCAGAGTCGCATTGCGCAGCTGGAGGAGGAGCTCAGCCGAACCAGGGCCGAGATGGAGACCCTGCGGGTTCGGCCGCCGGGCTCCGCCGCCGCCGCGGGGCCGAGCCCCACCGCCACCCAAGCGCTCGACTCGGAAGCTTTGGCGGCCAGCCGACAGGAGACCGAAGCCCTTAAACTGCTGGTGGAGAAACAGAGTCAGGAGATCTGTGAGCTGAAGCTGAAGGTCCAGCAGGCCACCAAGGAGAACATGGACATGATGGATGCCTGGAAGGTAACTAGCCAATCACAAGCTGGAAAAAAGTCACTTGTGGAAAAGGCTGTTCATCCGCGAGCAGTCAGACGGTGCTAGCTTAGGATCTGCTAACCACGTTTTAGCGTCTCTGTGCCAGTGGTAGCCCTCCATTTGCCACGTATTGCCTGGATTAGCTTAGCAACCACCAGTTATAGGTTGGCCTTCGTTCGCCCACGAATGAATTGTATTGTCATCTGTTGGCTTAACAACTGTTAGCCACATGTTAAGCATCTTTGACTTTTGTTTTGGCCCATGTTCATCATGTGTTCGCCGTATATGGGCCTCTGTTAGCGTAGCAATTGCCAGCTTTGAGTAGGCCTCTGTTAGCATAGCATCTTTGAGCTCGATGTTAATAGGTATGTTGGCCATATAGTTTTATAGGAAAAGGCCAGCTTTCAATCCTCTTTTGCTCGTCCCCCGCGCAGGCTAAATTCGACTGTCTCGTGAGCGATCACCAGCAGTCACTGGAGGAGCTGAAGGCCTCCTTCTCCGGCGGCCAGTCCGCACCCGAGGGCCAAGAGCCGGGTGTCCAGGAGCTGCGGGCCGCCCTGGAGGGCCTGAAGATGGAGCACCAGCTTGAGGTGGAGAACCTCAAGGCCAAGTACAAAATTGAAGCCGCCATCCTCACCAAAGAACGGGAGGACCTCTCCGCTCGGCTCCAAGACGCCAAGGAGCAAACCAGTCGGGAGGCCGCGGAGGAGGCCTCCGACAAACTGCAGAGGGCTGAGAAGAGGCTGGCGGAGATGGAGGTGCTTCAACGGGAGCGCGACCGAAGCGCCCGGGAGCTGAGGGAACAGCTGGAGATGTCCGAGAACAAGGTGTCGGAGTACCGAGCTTTGCAGGAAGTCAACCGGGAGGAGGTCCAGAAGCTGCAAGAGAAGCTGAGGGTGACGGCCAATCGGCTGCGGGCCATCCAGACCGACCGCGATGCTCACGTGAGCGATAACTAGCAGCACTAGCATCCGGTGTCTGATTGACACTTGAGTAACGCTTTGTTGTCATAGGTGATCGAAGACAACCACCTTTCCGACGAGAAGCTGAAGCAGAACATTGAAGGTATGACTTACGTTTTGTCCAACGGCCTGTTTACGGCGCAAACGGGTTGAGCCGACATGACCGTAATTGTCCTAAATGCTCTTCTCCTAAAGTTGCGAGGATGTAAACCATTGTCGTTTTTTTTTTTTTTTTCAGAAATCACGGAGAAGCTGATGAAAAGGGAAAAAGAGGTTTCCACTCTCACCTCCCAAGTCGAAGCGCTCAAATCTCAAATTGGAGGCAAGTCTTCGCAAGCAACGTTGCAATATTGACTCGACAAACTCTAAATGTTTCCCACTTTTTGTTTTCCCGGCAGTTCTCGAGGGCAAAGTTCGTACGGGGGAAAGGAAGGCCGAAGCGCTGGCGCGGGACAAGGTGCGCGTGGAGACGGAGCTTGAGTCCATGACCAGGAAATCCCATGATGCCTCTGGGCAGCTGCTCAGCATCGGCCAGGAGCTGTTGAAGAAAGAGGGGTAAGTTGGAGCTGTCATCTTAGCGTCTGCCAGCATCTTCTTGTCGTGCTTGTCATCACGTTGGCCTTGTGTTATTGTCCCCTTTTCAGCCACGCGTCTGGTAGCCATTTTCTTGGCCTTCCTCAGCCATACATGGTCCTCTCTCTTAGCTTAGCATCTGATACCCTTTGCGTTAGCATCCGTTCACCGCGTTTTCGCAATTGTTCGTCCCTCGTCAGCCACATTTCAGTGTGAAAATGAAGGGTCTTCTGTGACTCTGTCCGTACTTGGTTCATACCAGGAGCCTAAACGAGTTGCGAGTTTTGCTCCTGGAGTCGCGTCGCCACTCTCGTGAGATGGACAAAGACCTCAACCGTGAAATGCGCAAGGCCGAGTGGAAGGTGAAGGAGCAAAAACTGCAGGATGATATCAAGACGCTACGGGACAAACTTTTGATGCTGGTGAGAAAACCAAGGCCGACACATTTTAGGATTTGGCAATCAATGTATGAAGTGGAAGAGCATTTTTTTTTTTTTTGGTTACTTGCCTTTATTCCAGGGCCGTGAGAGATTCTCCCCGGATCACCGCCGTCACTCCATGCTGGATCCTTCGGCTCTGGACTCTGAGGTGACCCGCCTTCGCCAGCAGCTGCTCGGCACCGAAGACGCCCTGCGAACGGCCTTGGAGCACAATCAGCAGGTGGACCAGCTGGTGCAGGCCATGGGCAAGCATCCGGAGAAAAGCCCGGTAAGGTACTCTGGTGCCGTTAGATGCCGGGTGAACCCCGTTCAGGATAAACGATGTTGAAAATGGATGGGTGGGAGGTCTCCTCTGAAATGGATGCCTCCTTTCAAATCAAGTCTGGTTCTTCTCTTCCAGATGCACGGAGCCCGCAAATCAGCCAACGGTATTCACCACCAGGAAGCCGACAGCACTCAAAACGTCCGTATCTTCTTCGGTTGACTTTTCTCACGGTGGCGTACATCCGCCCGCCGGTGCTGAAACGTCTTTTTGTTGTCGGGTCGGCGTTTTCAGGAGCAGCACTGATGGTGAAAGCTGAGAATGGATCAACGAGGACTCGAGAGGAACGTCCGAACCTGCCACGGACGCATGAAGTTGATACCGTAACCACGCATGGTCGCCGAAAAAGCACCTTTTATTGAGTTGCAAGGACCAAGTACTGTAAATTAAACGCCTCATGGGATTCTAGATCGAAATTAGCTACCCACGAAGGCAACTTTCCTTGTTTTGCAGTTGCGGGAATGCCTCGAATCCAAGAACTTTTACCACTGGGTCACTTTTGTTTGTTCTTTTATTTATTACGTTGAAATAATCTACCGCGAGACTCGCAGAGAGTGCAGAAAGATTCCTGTGTGCTTGCAGGTTGAAGTGGCCATGCGGAAGGGTCTGCGTACCTGTAAAATCATTCACGAGTATGATTGACTGGGTATGAAAGTGACATTTCAAACAAAACATGTCCAAAACTTTGCTGAGCCTGGGATAAAACGTTTTTATTTTTCTCCTCAAAAGAACATGTCACAGTTCATACAGGTGATAAAATAAAGTAGCGCCACTTGGTTCATCCAGATTCGAATTTGGACACCAAGGTCTCACTGGTTGTACCTGTGACAGTTCGAGAGGGAAACCACGCTATGTTTACAATGATTGGACTCAAAATGCCACAGCTCATACAATGACCCCAATAAAAAAAAAAAAATTTAAAAAAGAAGCAGGTATGTCCACTTCTGGTATTAGTCACCAAGGTGACTAGTTGCACCTGTTCCAGAGCCGGTAAGACGTCAATCAATGTATGGTATGCATGATTGGACTCCTCACTGTTGAAAGTGCCACCTTAGTGCCAGGCATGGATGTTGCAATCATATTGGGTATGGTCCTAATCTGTAAAAATCAAGGTGCCAAAATTAACACATTTGATGGTATCACCCCAAAAACAAGACCACTTAAGGTACGCTAATGAACACCGGACGGCTACTGTCTGTATCTGTTCCAGGGCTAAAAAGCCTGTCAAATGCAAGGCCCCAGTGACAAATAAATGTACACATGTAAGTTATGAAAATACTTTTCTCTCAAAGTGCAGGAAGAAGAACAGAATGGCTGGTGGTTTCTTGGGCTCAAACCTGCCAGCATCCAAGGTCTTCCGGCTGTTTTCAACCGTTTTGTGGTTTGTAGTTGGCTGTCGTACTGTAACGGGAACGCTCATGATCGAGATTACTGCCGCAATGCTTTCCCAGACTAACTCATTAAATATTTACAACCCAAAACGGTTTTCTTCTCTTGGGTTGCTGCTGCTTCACATCTACAGAAGTACTTGAATCCATCTTGAATGCGCAGGTGCAAGAATGTCGGATTTCTTTTTCATCTTTTATTAAAACCCGTGATGTTAGGATCATGGTTGATGATTTAAAAACAAAATAAATAAAATGTATTTATCATATTTTTAATCGTTTTGATTTGCTTTTAAGCAGTTACCTTTTCACTTAGATTATATGTATTCACCTCCTTTTTCTTTCTGGTTGAAACCCCTGGTTAAATGTTTATATATATTTGCCCTAAATACTTCGCATGACTTTTTCACTAGTACGTTTAAACCAATCTACACTGTTTTTAAATGTGTAGAAATCAGAAAACAATGGTTTACTTTTAAAAACGCTTTTCTGCGCATATTTTTTCAGCAGCATTTTTGTTTCACGTGACATATACGGATCATATATAACTTTTATACATTTTTGAGACAAATTCACAATAATAAATACATTTATTTTTCACACTACTATGAGCATTGATGGACCGCACTCAACGCTATTTTTGGCATCTGGGCCTCATGTTTGCCAACTATGCTGTGTAATTCATTTTCTCGCTGGCATTCACGTTAACTTGTTTGGACGGATGCGATAAAAATGATGAAACACGCTCGGAATTTCCCTTTCTCTCCTTTTTTGGCCCACCGATTTCCTTCCCGGAGTTTTTCCGGTTAATCCTGCTCGGCCCCACCGGCCGCAGCCAATGGACGCTGCCGTTGAGTTGGGGTTGGGATTAGCAGGAGGGCGAATGACTTTCAATTTTACTGGATTACAGAACAAAGAACGAGAAGGAGGTGCAAAAAGGACACTTCTACTCGTGCTGCTGTGGAAGAAAAACAAGAGCGAGAGACGGGGATACAAAGATTGAGATTAAGATTACGGCCGTTTTTTTTTTGTCGAAGTGTTTTGAGCAACATTCGTGTTTTTTTTTTTAAACGATGGATTAAAAAAAATTCCGGGATTGACAGCAGCCGACAAAAGCGATTTAATCGCGAATTAAGGTGAGATTGCTCTTATTTTTCCCCATCTTTCGACCTTTACACACCATATTTACATCGTACAATGTACATAAACGGGCAAATGTGTGAATTGTACGTGGAGAATATATAGATTATTTCGCGACGACATCAGAGAGCGGGAGGGGGGGGTGCTAACGTTTGCTCGTGAACTAGCTAGCCAGCTACTTAGCTTGCCCGTTAGCTAATTAGCTCGCACTTGGTTGCTTGTTGAACACCTCAATTAATCATAATGTCAGTGACCGAATTCACCCAGCAACAAAACGAAGACTCGCCTCTCTTGTGGTTTCAAGACTACGAGTGCGTGGTGTCAGTTGGCTTTTCGTTATTTACATTCGTCCTTCGCTTAAGTGTCCGTTTTAAAGGTTATTAGGCTCACGCAACAAAGCCAGCTGCTGCACCGACAAACGGAGCGTTTCGTAGTCTCCAGTTCAATCTTTTTACCAAGGCATTGCTAAGAGTTTAGGATGACTTTTTGCGTTGTTATTTTACAGCACAACAGTGTATTGAAGCAGTTCATATGTGGTCATCATTTTATTAATTAATGAGATAAATGATAAAACCAACAAGTGTCGTCGCTGTTTGTGAAGACATTGTTAACGGAAAATGATTTTAATTAATAAGGTCAGACTTAAAATTACACATTTAAACCAACGGGTCAACAAAGTCCTAGTTGAGATTCCATTGGGGAACATGTAGGACTAGTGGTTAAGCACGTGTGCACCACTGTTGTCAAATTTAGGTTCGAGTCCCAAAGGCTTCTGGCATTCCAGTGTCGAGTTTGGGGCAATTATATGGGCTGCTAGAACATTCTGGTGTTGAAATGTACTCGTGTCATATGTTTTGCTTGTCTGTGTTGCTGCTCCATGAGTGCTAAAAGAATTTGTCATCGTAAATTAGGCCGGGGGGGGGGGGGGGTTCGACATTCGCTGAAATTTTTGGGGATGTGGCACATTGTCCACACTATCCAATTTTTCATGACTAATCCACAACATTTTCTACACGACTCACAGGCGTCTTTGGGGGTGCGTCAGATTGTCTGCACTTTTCATAAAAACCTTTAATCTTGATTATTTTGGATGTAGTTCCCCAAAATTTCCACAGAATTCACAGAAACCTTTTGAGTGTGTGGCGCGTTGTCCACACATTTGCAGTTTTTTTTTTTTTCTGGGGCTGTGCCTCATTTTACACACTTTACAGAATCCTTTGGGGATGGTCCACAGGTTGGACACCATTTACAAAATATTTGGGGGGCTGCGCCACATTTTTCACAGTATTTACATAAATTTTGGGGGCTTTCCATATTTTCCACACTATTTGCCGAAACAGTGAATGCCCCGTTTTTTGTGGGGTGTACCCCACGTTCAACACCCTTGACATTAAAAAAAAAAAGATGGCGCCACATTTTTTACACTGTTCATAGAAACCATACATTGTTGAGGAGTGTGCCAAAAAGTTCCATGCAGTTCATAAAGAACATCATTTTTGGGGGTCTGCTGAATGTTATAAACCATAGATATTTTATGTTTTGTTGTTTTGGGATGTGGGCCACATTTCCACACACTGTTCCCATAACCTTAAGTGTCCAAATTTGGATGGTGCACAATTTTCTCATGTTATTAACACAAAGCCTCACTCCAGCAGCTTTGTATGTCATCGCCATTGACTCTGTATACTTTATCATCCTGCTACATCTTAACTCCTCCTGCGTCACGTCCTGATTTGGTCGATATGTCCAGGCCCTAATCAGTGAAGAGGAGGGAAAATCGGGGCTGGTGGGGGGGTGTTTGGATGTTTGCTGTGGCCTCAGGGGAAACGCATTTAGACGACCACGCCCGCCTCTTCCTCTTCGTCCATCTTCCTCCTCTGTCAGTTGAGCCAGAGGCCGGCATAATGGTTGGCAGTGTCTGCAGAGATTAAAGGGCCAGCGCCGCATTGTTCGCATGCCCCGAGATTAGTTTCCAAGGAGACGGGTTGCGGTTACCTTGGCAACGCGGCTGCCGCCGGTCAGCTCCGTCTTCGTTAGCTCGCCGGGCACGTGACTGAGAGAGCTATCTGATGCTAAGATAATAGACTATTATTTCTTTATATCATTGGGACAGCGCACATTAATCAATACAAGAATAAACAGATACAGACGCGGCCGTTCGGCACTCCAGTGGCAAATTTATCAAGATGCTAACTTTGTAATTCACAGATGCTATCAAATGCTAAACTAGTATTTGCAGCAAAAAGAGACGAACTGGTGACACAGATACTGGAATATGGCTACCAAATGCGAAGCTAACAGAGTCAACATGATTTAACGCGTTAACTAGTCATTCGTAGGTGCAAAACACACCTGGCTAACCGATGCTAAAATAACCGAGGTCTGTCTGTCTGTCCATCTCTCTATCTTATCTATAGTACATGACAAGCAGATGCTAAGCTAACCCAACGCAGCATTAGACTTTATGAAGCTAAATTGTGGCTAACAGAGGCTAACCAGTGCTAAGCTAATAGATGACAACAGATGCTAGTATGTGGCTAACACATGCTAGCATGTGGCGAACGGATGCTAACAGGTCTAAAGTGTGTTATTGTTGTCTCTCTAGAGGCCATGTCTCAAATGAGGAAGCTGGCATGTGACGGCGTGCGGCCCACCTCCCGCTGTGACCCTCCGGTTCCGGCGCTGTCGGCCAGGCAGGAGATCCTCACCAGCTTGGTGTCGGCCCTGGACTCTGTGGTAGGTCCGCCACCGCACATCGCGCTGAACTACTTACGACGAGATGTACTCGCCAAACGTGGTGTAGTGACCGAGTGTTTTGTCCAGTGTATGGCCATGTCCAAGCTCAACGCGGAAGTGGCCTGCATCACCGTCCACGAGGACAGCGTCATCGCACTCGGCACGGAAAAGGGGCGAATTTTCCTCAACTCTAAGAGAGAAATACAGACCGAATTCTACAAGCATTGCCGTAAGTTTCCATACCATACTCCCCAAAACTCTGAACGTGAAGTTTTTGGGGTGCACCAGATATTCCACAAACCCATAAATGTTTTTTAGGGGGTCCGCCACATTTCCCACAAAACAACAGATGTAATGTTTACAGGCAGTGTCAAAGAGACGTCTTCCACTGCACTGCCATCATTGTGATTGTTTCTTTAATTTGGCTTTTGGCACCACTCCCTCCTCGCGGACAATCCCTCACATTCAAAGTGGAAAAGACGACGGCACAAACACGTCATTAATTTTATCAGCAGCTATTTTTCAAGCGTGACACGTTGATTACTCCCCGCGCCCCCTCCCCCGAGAACAAATCTGTCGCTTGTCCGGTGTGATGACGCCGCTAAACGGCATTAGTGGAATGCAAAACAAGCCGGGCCTTCAATGCCACTCGCGTTCTTTTCTCGCAGGGGCGCCCACTTGCCTCCCCAACATGACCGTCGCCAAAGACCAAGACGTGGAACCGGGCAAGGCGGGAAAGGAAGGCGAGCACGGGAAAATCGGCAGAACACCCGCACTCCCGCTGCCGCCGCCGCCACCACCACCGGACACTCAGTCCAACATTTTTGTCCTAAGGAAGATGGTGGACGAGGTCTTCACCGTTCTCTACAGTAAGCATTCTCTTGAAAATCATGCCTTGGTCAGGTGGCAACTGTGAAGCTGTTTGAGGGCGCGCCACGTTTTTTTTTTTTTCCCTCCCCCACACAATGAACTGAAACCGTAAATGGCTGTGCCACATATTCCACACCGATCTCAGAAACTGGAATGGTTTTGTTTTTTGAGGTGTTGTGACACATTTTCCACCCTATTTACAGAAGACAAAGGGTTGGAGGATGCACTATGTTTATCGTTTTAGTCACCCCCAAAAATGTAAATGTTTGTGGCTGGGCTGGATTTTTTTTTTTTTTTTGTCTGAAATCAACCGATTCCTCTGTGGTGTGTGCAGGTGAAGCGGCCGGAAAGAGCACCCTGGTGCCTGTGCCTTACGAGTGGCTCCAGAAAGAGCCCGCTTGCCTTGTGGCCCGCGGCCTACCGGAAGGCGTTTCCTTGAGGAAGCCATCCGAGTATGACTCCAAGACGCTCATAAAGATTCTGGAGCAAAGCCACAGGATACACTTCACCGTCACAAGGTCAGCACCTAACCCAGGCCAGACGCTTGCCCACATTTTTGAGGGGTGCCCCAAATATTGCAAACTATTCAAGTCAACCCTGATGTCATATTTTTGGGGGAGGGTCAAGACTGTAAATGTAAAGGTGTTTCGAGATAAGCCACATTTTCCACACAATTCACAAAAACTTGAAATGTTCCATTTTTGGGAGGTGCACCAAATACTTATGTCTGTGAATAAAAAACGTAACGTTATACTTTTTGGAGGCTTTTGCCATTGACTCAAAATTTTCTGTACTTTTCAGAGAAACTGAAAATGTAGTTTTCATTATTGTGGGACCCAGCAAAATGTTCACAAAATGCTGACCGTGAACTGGAGGCAGATCAGGAACCACCATGGAGTTTGGAACTGTCGCGCGTCCACAACTTACACTGAACAGGAACCCCTGCAGAACTCGAACCGTTCGAGCGCCACAATTGGTTGCGTGACTCGTTCCAGTTCTGCAGCAAATTCCGTGACGAAATCTGGATCTGCAAATAGTTCAGAGACCGATTCTCAGTCTGTGACTTGTTCCCCAACAAGTTCTGGCTCTGCGACTAGTTCCAGCTCCGCGATGGTTCCAGCTCCGCGGCTAGTTACGGCTCCACAACCAGTTCCGGGACCGGATGTGGCTCCGCAACTAGTTCAGCGTCTGCCGCTAGTTCCGTCCCCGCGAGCGTGGCAGCTCCGCGCGGCTCTGTTTGACGCGCGTCCCCTCTGGTCTGCGCGCAGGCCGACGGAAGACTTGTCTCGCGAAGCCAAATCGGCGAGCGCGGAGCTGGGCCATCAAAGCTCTTCCGGCAGCCCCGTGGCTCAGGGCGGCGCTGGCCCAGTCAAGACTACTGCCCAGGTAGTCACACCGTCAAGTCCCGCCACTTCCGCCAACTCTGTTCTCTCAAACTTCCTGTACGGCATGCCCATGTCCTCCAAACCCCACCCAGATGGTCCGCTGGACTTCAAACCCTCGTCGCTCCTCAACCTGGGCAAGGACCGACTGGCCAAGTGGACAGACAAGGGCGCATGTGGGAAGGAAGCTGCTAGCATTGGTAATACCCCCGGGGGAGTTAGGCCTGGAATCTGAACCGGATGCAGCGTATGTCACTAAATTCTTCTTCTTGTTATTATTTTTTTAGATGAGACAACAAAAGTACCCGGTGAGCAGGGTCAGACACCTGCGAGTGTCCACATATCCAAGAGGCTACTTTTCTCCATCGTGCACGAAAAATCAGGTTTGTTTCAACCCTTTGGTCTTTGACGCCGAATCCGGTACGGCCATTCTGCAGCCTCGTGTGATTTCGTAGCGACCGACCGACTTAGCCTACGCATGTTTGTACGGAGACGAAAGCCTCCTGAGCATTTGCTGAACTTTTACACCGAATCTGGCCTGATATGGCCACTTTGCTGTAGGTTACCTCGGCTAGGTGTTTTTGCAAGTGTTTATACGGAAACAAAAACGACTTCCATGAGGAGATCCACTGCAAAATGACAGTAAAAACGAGATCTGGCACAGAATCAATCACAGTAGGACCACAGCTAAGTTTCCGATTCAACTACTCCATTTTTGGGCACAGAGACAGATCTTTGTGGGGAAAAAAATTGCTGTAAACGTAAGACGGCACTGTGCCTTTTACACAGAATCCGGCACAATATTGCCATGAGTGACTTTTCATGTAAAATGATTCAGATTCCTGTTTTGACTACATTTTTTTAGGAGGGTGTATTTTGCCAGGATGGATGGGGTAACGGGGAAAACCGATATCTTGTCTCAACTCAATGCCTGCACAATCTCTCCTCAGTGGTGCAAAAGGGGCTAAAGTGTGCTAATAACTCAGCAACTGAGCGTAAACATAAAAACAAAAAAAACAATTGCGTCCGCCCTCCAATAACTTCTGGGTATTAACGGCTTCTATTATTAAAAGAAAAACAAAAAAAAAAAACCAACAATACATTCATTTTTTTTCTTTTTTTTGTCATCCTCTGCAGAAAAATGGGACTTGTTCATCCGGGAGACGGAGGATATTAACACGTTAAGGGAATGCGTCCAGATCCTCTTCAACAGCAGATATGGTGAGGAGGACTCAAGAAACCAGGGAGGGCTCACCGGCGGCCTGCAAAAGCCGCATGGGACCCCCGCCTGAACACCCCCTCACCCCCTTCCCAAAAAATATCATAATCCACATTGGTTTGTCCTGACTCCAAACCATACGAAAGGCCCTGACCAACGGCGCATTTTGCTTGTTGTGTTGTAGCCGAGGCCCTCGGTCTGGACCACATGGTGCCGGTGCCCTACCGCAAGATCGCGTGCGACCCGGGCGCGGTGGAGATCCTGGGCATCCCGGACCAGATTCCCTTCAAGCGTCCGTGCACCTACGGGGTCCCCAAACTCAAACGCATCCTGGATGAGAGACACGCCATCCGATTCGTGGTCAGGCGGTACGTGCCACCTTTCTTTCTTCCCCTTCCGAGGATGTTGACGAAACGCGAGCGTGCGGAGGCCGAGTTGCGGCTCGAATCCCGGCCAGATTTTTTGATAAGAAGCAGAACGCGACCATCTGTCTGCTTAAGCTACGTCCCACCGCTAAATGGCATTCATGACTTCCCTTCAACGGCGGGTTCGACTCTTTCATTGATTGAACGTCATTCCAAAGGGGGGTGGGGGGGGGGGGAATCGCAGGTCCGCCTCAGGCTTGTTATTCAACTTCCAAGTGGTGAGGGATGCTGGCGTTGACTCATCTTCTCTTGTCTGATTTACCTTCCAGGATGTTTGATGAAAAGATTTTCACAGGTGAGACAAATTCAGCTGGCGCTCAATAGACAGAAGCACACGTATCATCTGCATGCAGCCTACCTCAAAACATCAATCATATCTTCGTTCTGTGACACGCGTTGACTCCCAAGTTCTCATTTCAACATTTTTGCATAATATGCTTAACTGTGTAAAGGACACGTGCGTACCGATAAAACTAATTTCGCAGATTCGTTGGAGATCCAATCATTTTGGCGATGTTCAACCAGTGCTAGGAATTACGATCAAATTAAAAAAAATTTTTTAAAAAAAAAAAAAAAAAAAAAAAAAAAAAAGAACTTTTTTTAAGAACCCAAAAGAAAGGGGCCCCTAAACCAGAAGTTGTTTTTAAGAACCCGAAACGGCAATCTTTTCATAAAGCTGAAAATTACAAAAATGGAAGCCCGAGCTGACCCTGTACCCCTCCACCCCCAAGCTGCCGGCAAGATGTCGAAGGAGGAAAGCAAGCCGGACGCTGGGGCCGCCGCCCCCGAAGACACTCTGACCGAGAACCCGAGCCTCACGCCCCCTGCCGCGGAGCTGCCGGTCAATCCTCACAGCGGTCATTCAGAGCGCGTCCCATCGTTTCGCAGGCCCGCAGGCCGATCGGACGCCACCTCGCCGTTCCTAATGAGCTGTGCCGTGTGTTGAATTGAACAGGTCGACCGGCGTCTGCGCGAGTCCCCCGGCCGAGCGCGAAGCAGGTAAAAATGAAGCCGCGGGGCGGACATTCAGACAGGAGGAGGATGGCGATGAGGATGATTGGACACAAAATCGGCGATTGGTTCTCATGTGACCGTTTGCCGATTGATCAATGACGTCATTGATTGGGTCTGCAAAATAAGATATGACAACATCGTTCACTCCAGGGACATTCTGTGCTGCCACATGCAATAATCCAACGTTTCTTAGCATATGCAGTCATTCCCCTGAGGCCCCCCCCCCCCCAATATTAGCCAAATAAAGAAAGAAATATTGCTGAATATGTGACGAGGAAGTGGTTGATGACGACGCTGCCCCCCACAGGTCCTTCGGCAGATTGCCTGCCCGTGAAGAGGATTAAAACGGAGCCTCCGGATGGGGACATCATTCAAGTGACTGTGCCGGGTAAGTACGGCAGCCGTAGCGTCACGGGCCTTAAACTACAAACACTGTGAAGGACCCGAAACTAACTCGATAAAGGACCCCACACTTAGTAGATGACTTCAAATGTGAAGGGGTCATAAACTACAAACTATATAGCGTACTGTCCACCGCAAACTCCGTAAAGGACCACAAACTTTGCAAGGGACACAAAACTACAAAATGTATGTACTCTCAATTGCAATTAAGTGTGCAAAGGACCCTTAACCACAACCTTTGTTAACGGCCCCAAACTACAAATTGTGTTTAGGGTCCTCTCCTAGAAACTTTTTTTTTTTTTAATTAAATGGAGTCCAAACTTTGTAAAGGACCATAAACCACAAACTGGACGTTGAAGGCTGTTGTTGTGTTCAGAAGCCGGCTCCGGTGCGGAGGAGGCCAGCGAGCCGGCACCCGAGCCTGCCTCATGTGGGGCCACGTCCTCTCCCTCGCGTCCCTCGGGTGCCTCGGCCCTCCACCACCCGGCGGAGAGCCACGCAGGTAACCTCCACACCTGCTCCCCGGCCCCCGACGGCTTGCAGACCGCCCGCCGCCCCCCGCAGCCTGCTTGTTGTTTAGGGCCTCACGTATGAACTTGAAAGGTCAAACCCCGTCTTAGTGATGCCGCCACATCTGAAGCCCCCATGCCCTGTCCTGACCCCCCCCGTTGCTCTTCTCCCACTAGCAACTTCCACTAGAATGATTTAAGACCCTCCCTCCAGTCTCACACACAGCTGCCTAGAGTACACACCCAAGACAACATTTGTGTCGTGACTCTCTCTAAATAGCGGGCGGGGGGGACAAACTTTGAAAGAAACTTCAAAATCAAGAACTCCAGCAAGTAGTTTGGCGAATGAGAGTCCACACAAATGTGTTGTTGGGGTTTAGCGCCCATGCTTTTTGTTCTCATCTTTTCTTTTTATTTTCTTGTTTTTTGACTCTGCTTTGCTTAAGTTTCTTTTCTTTCACAAATGACCACTGCAGGAGACAAACCGAAGGTAAGCGCACGCGACAAATCCAAGCGCTCCATATGAACTGCGACTGCAAAGTACATGACCCCGCCGATCAATGAATCCATAGTTCAGAGGCCAACAAAATAAGATACAAGAAACGATAAAAGTAACTCATGGATGTCATTCTAACTGGAGGAATATTTGAAAACTACTCTGACGCCCTCTTTGCCTCTTGCAGCCGGCGAAGCCTTGTCACCCAACGCGGCACCCCAGGGCATCCGAAGACCCCCTGAAGGTAACCCTTTTTTTTTTTTTCTATGTGGAACAAATCACATCAAGTCATCTCTCGCATCAAAGCTCTTGCAGAGGGCACGGCGGACATGCAGTTATTTTCTCAACATACCTTGACATGATGACATAATCTTCAAATATATTCACTGTAGAGATTTTGTGAAAAACCTCAAGCGAATATTTGTGCGGAACACGTTCATAAATCAATGTGTGTGGGGGAAAAAAAAAACCCACATGGAGACACATCTCGGTGTGGGCTTTGGAGATGTCATCCATTTTCGATGACGTTGTGTTTAAATGACATGCACTAAACACGTTCTTTAAAAACATCAGGATAAAATGAGCGACGAACAAGGTAAAAATCGGTGTGGCACAAACCAGATTGAGTCGGACCTCATTTTAAAGGTCTCCATGAAGACGCGATTATTTTGTTGCTGAGCAAAGGGCGCCTATTTCTTTGTTTTGTTGTCGATTGCTTCAGCCGGAAGACTGGTGGAGGACATTGGTGAAATGATTCTTCAGCTGCGCAGACAAGTGGAGAATTTATTCAGCATGAAGTACGGTATGTCCGAGCCGGCCCCCCCTCCTCGTACGTTTTGTTTGGCTTGATATGTTTTTCAACGTGGCGCTTTCCGACGTTTTGTTGCTCAGCCGAAGCTTTGGGCCTCCCCGAGCCGGCCAAGGTGCCCTACTCCAAGTTCCAGATGTACCCCGAGGACCTGTTCGTCACCGGGTTGCCCGAGGGCATCGCGTTGCGTCGGCCCAACTGCTTCGGGGCGGCCAAGTTGCGCAAGATCCTGGCCGCCGCCAGCCACATCCGGTTCGTCATCAAAACGTGAGCGCAGATGACAACCCCCACGCTCAGCCCACGCTCACCTCCCTCTTTGCGCAAAACGCCAAGCCGCCTTTCTGCCGTATCGTGTCCGCAGGCCCAAGCTGCTGAGCGAGCACGTCAAACAAGAGTTGCCTTCTGTCTGCGACTCGGGTAGGTCAAAGTTGGGCCGGGAGTTGCCTGCCGGAGTTTCTGTTGTTTGGGCAGATCTTGCCAAGTTGCTTTCAAGGCTTATTCAAGGTTGGAACGGCTCCCGATTACAGAGCCGGACGCCAAGGAAGTGACGCCGCTGACGGAAGACGCCGCAGTGTTGTCCAAGAGACCCGCTTTCTCAGGTACAACGCTGTCATTCTTTAAAACAAATGCGTAGTTTGTCAGTAAGAAAATCAACTCTTAAATCAAGGTATAGGGTCACTAGTAACGAGGTTGGGGTAAGCGAGGGGGCACAAACCACAGTGAGGATTGTAACAGCCCATTAAAAAAAACCCGATGTCATTCTGTCCTCCGGCATTTTAAAGAGGGCCTGGAGTCCAAGCTGTCCCGGATCGACCTGGCCAACACCCTGCGGGAGCAGGTCCAGGACCTGTTCAACAGGAAGTACGGCGAGGCGCTGGGCATTAAGTACCCGGTCCAAGTGCCTTACAAGCGCATCAAGAACAACCCGGACTCTGTCATCATCGAGGGACTCCCGCCCGGCATCCCCTTCCGGAAGCCCTGCACCTTCGGCTCCCAGAACCTGGAGCGCATCCTGGCAGTCGCCGACAAAATCAACTTCACCATCACCAGGTTAACGCCGCATGTTGTGCACTTACTGTACTCTTCGCGTTGACAGGCTATTTTTGCTTTTCCGGCTCATGAAAAGCACGTCTTTCCGAATTCAGCTCTTTATATTTAGCATGAGTTTCCCAAATGTAAATTGTTGGATGACAACTTTTACAATGCCCGCTAACTGCCTATCTTCTTGATTTCCAGACCTTTCCAAGGCCTCATTCCAAAGCCGGGTAAGCGCAATACAAAATTCATCGACCAACGGGCGCTCACACTGGTCCCCGGATGAAAAACCCTCACGATAACCTTTGTTGTTCTTCAGCACCTCGACGGGTCACTTTACTCAAGAAGGCGTACGCTGCCATAAATGGTGAGTTGTCGCTAACTGTTTGGTCGTTTAGCTTAGCTCGTGGATAAATACAACGTGTCTTCTGTTAGACGACGACGATGACGATGACGTCAACCGAGTCGGGGAGAAGGTGGTCCTCCGCGAGCAGGTCAAGGAGCTGTTTAACAAGAAATACGGTAATTTGGGGGGGAACACAACAACAACAATAATAATATCGTAGGCAATGTCGTGAACATGGTGACTTTGCGATGTCTCAAGGCGAGGCTCTGGGGCTCGACCGCGCCGTGGCTGTGCCGTACAAGCTGATCCGTGGCAGCCCGGAGTGTGTGCAAGTGGACGGGCTCCCCAAAGACGTGCCCTTCCGCAACCCGGGTGCCTACGACGCCGCTTGCCTGGAGAGGATCCTCCACGCCAAAGACAAAATCAGCTTCAGCGTCAAGAGCCAGCTACAGTGAGCAAGATGTGCTAGCAACGTTTAGCCCAGAACAGCCACAATAGGATTTATACTTGGGATTTTCCACGCAACCTTCTTTTACGGTGGAGCCACACCCTAGATAGATAAATTGCGTACTAAAATGGATACAATCCTAATGTGCTAATGTACAACTACTGTATGCTAATGGTGGTTGTTCTGTCTCTCACAGGCCTTTTTCAGAACTGTGCAGTCAGCCTTGCAACACAGGTACGCATGCGTCATCATCTTCAGCAGCAGCGCCATCATGGCTGCCGCCGCCTCATGTTAGCCACCGCTCAAGGCGAGGCTCTGGGGCTCGACCGCGCCGTGGCTGTGCCGTACAAGCTGATCCGTGGCAGCCCGGAGTGTGTGCAAGTGGACGGGCTCCCCAAAGACGTGCCCTTCCGCAACCCGGGTGCCTACGACGCCGCTTGCCTGGAGAGGATCCTCCACGCCAAAGACAAAATCAGCTTCAGCGTCAAGAGCCAGCTACAGTGAGCAAGATGTGCTAGCAACGTTTAGCCCAGAACAGCCACAATAGGATTTATACTTGGGATTTTCCACGCAACCTTCTTTTACGGTGGAGCCACACCCTAGATAGATAAATTGCGTACTAAAATGGATACAATCCTAATGTGCTAATGTACAACTACTGTATGCTAATGGTGGTTATTCTGTCTCTCACAGGCCTTTTTCAGAACTGTGCAGTCAGCCTTGCAACACAGGTACGCATGCGTCATCATCTTCAGCAGCAGCGCCATCATGGCTGCCGCCGCCTCATGTTAGCCACCGTTTTGTGAACGTTTTTTTCTTTTTTTGTTACACAAGCGTTAGCGCCCGAAGCCTCTACCAGTCGAAGAAAGCGCAAGCGAGTCCAGGAGACCCACAGAGGACCCGCCCCCTCCTCCACAGAGCTTGCTCCGCCGGCCAGTCAGATTCCAGTCATGGTACGTGTTGTATAGTAACGCCTGAGAGTGCAGATGTACAAAATGCAGCTGAACCTCCAAAATGGGAGAAGCTAAAGTAGCAATTTTGCAATAAATAACACGACAAAGCAAGCTAGCAGCCACAGGCATAGCGAGCTTAGTAGTCCAATTAGCGGCTAGCCACCACGAGACGCTAACGTAGAAGTCGACCACTAAACTGCAACTAAACAGTTGGCAGCTATTTAGCACAAGAAACTAACACATCTACATCTTCATTCTAGCTCCCAAGTCGGTGGCTATGTAGCATGGGAAGCTAATACAGAAGTCGACGTCTTGACTTGGTCTGACGGTGGCTAGATAACACGAGAAGCGAATGGAGGCTACAATCCGTCTTGACTTACAGCAGTGATGATGAACAAAAAAGCCAAAGTTACGGTTCCCGACACGACTGACATTCTGCCGCCATTTCGTGTCCTCAGCAGTGGCCCATGTACATGGTGGACTACAGTGGAGTCAACATGCAAGTACCAGGAAAAGTCAACTACTGAAGGGAGTCAGAGCCCAGAAATGGCGTGGTCAACAATCTGCCATGGCGATGATGATTATCATTATTGTTGTGTTTTGTTTTCTCATTTGTTTGCTAACATTAGCACTAAAAAAGTCACGTCGTGTATGTGTGCGCGCTCGCGCGATTAGCATCCACACCGTTATTACTAACACTATAAGTCACAGTGACATCTTGTGTTAAGTTTGTACCTTTTTTATTTATTCTATTTATTAAAATGTAACATCGCCATATGCAGGGATGCTAACTAAAACAATAACGCTTAGCGGGGCCCACATACTCTGGATTGATAAAAAAAAATAATAATGCAGCAGTCTATCTTCATTTGAGTTAATTTGTGGCAATGGCTGTGTCCAAATTCACAGGCTGCGTCCTCTGAAGGCCGCATGACATCACTTCCGACGCAACTCAACAGCACATGGTTTCGAAGGTCTCGTAAGACAATTCGCAGGCTGCGACCTTTAATACTTTCAAAGGCTCCTAATGTCGCATCCCTGGACCGCATAAACCGTGGCGAATTTGACCACCGTGTGCGGTCAAGTCACGCCGGAAGTGACGTCATGCGGACTTAAGAGGGCTCAGCCTGTGAATTTGAACGCAGGCAATGTATTCACTCTAGCTGGTGCAAAAAGCTACCGTAGGCTTCAACATCTTCACCCTGGTAAACCAGTCGGCAGCCAGCTAGCATAAGAATTAATAATCACTCTTGTCATTCCAGCTAACGGATTGTCATCTTGGGTTAGACACACCAATATTGCAGTCCACATTTTAATTCTGGCAAAGTAGTTAGTGGCTGCCTCGCACAAGAAGCCATCTACAGCTTCAAGCTGGCAAGCATGCGAAGCTAACCCAGCTGTTGAAATCTTATAGGCCAGCTAAAGAACGATCCCCCACCCCCAAACCGTTTGAATTAGTTTTGTATCCAGCGTATGGACGCCCCCTGTAGGAGCTTGAGATTAATACAGCCTTTTGTACCTTAGCAGATTTATTCGAAGCCATTTGAGCATTTATTCGATATTCTTGATGTTTTCGGACGTTTTTTCACGCCGCCGTTTGACATTTCTGCGTACAAGTAGGACAACTTCAACATCATACAATTCCACCAGTTAGCATCTGGCGCTTCACTTAATAGTACTAGTTGCATGCAGATGATAAATTGTGGCAAAGCGCACTAGCCCACGGAGCTTAAACTGCATATCGAGGATATGGAATAAATGCTCCAAGGGCTTGAAGTATATGTACCATAATATTACGTGGCTAAAACAAGTCAGTCTGAATGTATCAAGCGGGGCCTGTCCGACCCTGACTTACCAGTAAAGAATGCTATGATGACTAACCCCCATGTAAACATGCTGTACCTTAACGCCAATTAGGCCTTTCCAAATAAAATGTGTTGCCTTGATTCTGTGTTTTATGTTGTGTGCCGCCGCGTTTTTCCCGATGGACACCACGGAGTCTTTGTCGTCGTCAATCTTTTTCTCTTTATTGCAGTGACTTGTGCCCAAGAGGCGGGATCATTCGTGTGAGTACAGGAAGTGAGGCCTTGATTGTCACTGTCGGGAGCGCTTTTGTTGGCTTCTGTCTTCAGACTGACAGTCAGGGTAGGGCGTCAAGCTGCGCACGTTTCGGCTGCAATGCTAACTGAAAGAGAAATTGTGCCCGTTTCGATAGCTGATGAGTCCAAAGGATTAAGGTTAGTGAAATGGTGCAGGTTTCGATTAGGGCGCTAACTAAAGCACAAGAGTACTAAAAATGATGTGTCTTTAACTTGATTTCTGGTCACCACTTGTTTCTTAAGTCAATTTCCTACAACCCCCAAAAGTAGGCTAACGCGACGTCGCTTTGCTACGTTTTCAATTGCATAACTTCCACCCTTGATTTTTTTTTTTTCTGACTTTTTAAATCACAGTTTTCTGCGCGTCACAACTAAAGTGCTTTATGAGTTTTGAAGTGCCGGTGTCATCCAAGGCAACCGAGCGGGAAAAGTGGCGGTGGGGACAATGTGGATCATGATAGAAATTAAGAATATAGCGCAGCAACAACAACAATATTTTCCATAATTAGGTTTGTGGGAATGTAACTGCATCAGAACCGTCGCAGAAAGCAGGATATCACCGCAAAAGCACTTGTGTTCACTTTCACACAGCGGGTTGCGCTTCTGGCCTGTTAAGGATCTGATATGACTTCCGAAGGTGGAAAAGTTTCTGGGATGTTCTCCCCTGTTCCAGTGCTTGTATGGTGATGTTCCCTTCCAGTTGGAGGATGTGATTTTTTTTCTTTTTTTGGAGAGGGCAGGGAGTGACTTAGCTGCTGCAGCCGGGGGCTTTGAGGCAGTCCTCGGTCACGCCCTGCGAGGCCAGCTCCGACAGGACGTTGTCCAGGTAGTTGGGGTCCGGGAAGCCGTGTCCCGACAGGTTGGACATCATCTCCGTCTTGTGGTGAATGCCGTTCCACACCACCGTGTCGGGCTCGCCGGTGGTGCTGGATGTGCCCACCGTGAAGATGAGGCGGCGCATCCACGCCACCTTTAGCAGCTCCAGAACCTTTGGATGCACAAAAAAAAAAAAAAGACGGACCATGAGGTGATGGGCGCGGTACGGGTCAATTCATTGAGATGTTTTTTTCCCCTCCGCAGGTAAAACCCAATGGAAACAAACCCTCGGGCCACCTTTGACCAGCTTGCAAAATTGAGTCAGCTGTTGCAGCCATTATTTTGCTTGAGCCGAAACCCGATTTTAAAATGAGGAATTGTGCCACCTGGTGGTCAATATTTTGTGTGCAGGACGGCTGTGAACAATCGGGGTTGATTGGAGCAGGTGCATTCGTTAGACGGAAAAAGTTTGGATGGAAAACTTGTCAGCCGTGGCTGTGGGCTACTTTCTTTGATTTATGATCGCAGTTGTTTTTTGGGGGAATCGTTTCAAGTATTCAAGTCTTTTAATTTGACATACGGTACTTGTGTGAGCAAGAAACGGACACAACGCCACACCCAAACGCAGCCAAATGGACCCTTGGAATGAACCTGGAAACTCAAGTCATCCCCAAGTTAAGTCAAACAACCCTTTTAATTTCATGTTGGCGTTCATTGTTGTTCCGTGTTGAATGTGCAGATTGTTGGACTTGTTAATTGTAAAAAAGAAGCTGCAACACAGGTACTCTGCTAGTTGGGAAAAATATTTTTCAGCACAACCCTGTAGATTTCAACCACAATTTCCCATGGAAACTTGTGGAATACTTTGCCGCGCCGGGTAGATGAAAGCGTCACCGGTTTTGAAGGCTAATTTCGCATCCCATGTTAGCTTTATATGCTAGCTGACATGTCAGGTTTTCCACCTCTCACAGGCCGAGTGTGGAAACGCATCGCCGGCGCTGAAACAGGATTTCGTTGTCTGACTACCTTCCTGCCTTTGTCGCTGTCGGGCAAGAAGCAGAAGCGAGGGAATCCTCGGCAGGTGAAGGGCTGTCCCGGGTTGGGATGCTCCGGACCCTGCGGCGCCGGGACAAAAAGGAAGGCGCGATGAGCGCCGGTGGCGAGGACGCGCGTCGTCCGGCCGAGGGCGGGGCCCACCTGTATTCCCGGCAGGATGCTGTAGATGATCTGGATGGCGCCGCAGTCCGGGTGTCCGGGCAGCGCTTGCGGGATGCTGTAAATCTCCATCTTGCCTTTTGGCTGCGTGCCCGTCTTTTCGCCGTAGATGGTCTTACACGAGGGGCACTGAAGGCTGCCGTCCTGAGGACAAGAAAAGCCGCGGCGGCTTTTGAACTGATCCGTGCAACCCCGATCAGAGAAGAGCGACTTGACGATCGGCGGCACTTTTGGCGTAAACCACTTCAGAGTTCCCGGAGGACAGGTAGGATTCAACACACGGTGTTTATCCTTTCTTGAATAATATATCCTGAATGAATCCAAAAAGTTTTTATCGAAGGGAACGGTACTCATTTTTCTATTGTCAAAAAAATTCAAACCAGCTTTTTTTCCCCCTGCATTGCATCTCTAATTCAGATTTAAATCAATAAACAAACTTTGCTTGGAGTACACTCACATTTTTCTATTATTGAAAAATAATAAAAATGTTATGAATGTTCTGATGGTTTGCTTTTAAAGTATGAATGAGTCTTCGGCACAACATTTGAGAACAAAATGTGTTCTTTCATTTGTCTAAAACTAATTTGAAACAAAATCAATTATTGACATCACCGTTATGTTCCGATTCATTTGGATTTTAGCCTAACCGCATAATTGCCACGCTCATATTTTTGGAAAAAGCACATTTGAATCATCTGCAAACAGGAAGCTCAAAACGACTTTGGCACTGATGCTATTCGGCTCATGATTTATGAACTTAAAATCCAAAAATGACACGTTCGACCAAAAAATAATTTGGATGCCTGAGAATTGATTGGAAAATTTGTTTACGTTATTTTCAATATTAATTTTTTTATTGTATACATTAAAAAAAATAAAACCCCATTCTTGTATTTTTAAATTCTCTTTAAAAAAAAAATTAAGAATCTACTGTGGTGTGTGGCCCCTCGGCAGTTCGTACCTTGGTGCCGTTGTTGTACATGGCCAGCATGCAGAGCATATGCAGGGTGTGCCCGCACTTGACAAACTTCCCCACGGCGTCCGGCAAGATGCCCTGCCCCCCTTCCCCCGCCGTCGCCGGGGGCTGCGTCTCGTAGCCGGAGGGATTGGACAGTTGATCCATGCAGATGATGCAGTCCTGCCAGGCGGAAGGAACGGAAGGTGTCAGAGGAAAAAAAAAAAAAATTGGGCAACACGCTAGCCGGGAGCTACCTCGTCCGGGACGCCGGGCACCACCTCCATGTAACGCCGGATCACCTCCTCGGCTCTCTGACTGGAAGCTGAAACAAAACATGGCCTTTGAAATCCTGCCCTGGAACTTTGCAACGCCTTTTACCGGACGTTTTTACCCGGCGAGCAAAAGCGAGTCGGCCGGGAGCGCCAACGACACGTTCAAAGGTGGGAAATGAGGAGGAGGAGGCGGGTGCTGCTGCTGATGCGGGATCAAGAGTGCCAGGATAGTATGTGACGGTCACCGCCTGGTGAGTGACGTGGGCGTAAATTGCTCCCAAACTTGGGCCGTTCTTTTCAGCGCCCTTTGGAAGTCGTCTGCATGGGGAGTGCTGCCAACGTGAGTCCATGTGGGGAAAAAATGATCACTGCAAAGACTCGAGGGCCTTTTTTTTTTTTTCTTCTCATGGAAAGATTTGTGTTGTGAACAGTTGTGATCCCCAGCATCCAGACCCTGTGCAATTCCGTTACCCAGCATTGAAAACTGTTGTGGGCCAGCGTTAATCGCTTCCAGCGGACGGCAGAAGCACGGACGGCGTCACGCCGCGCTGCGCAATTCCCTCGGACACGGCCGGGGTGGCGTCTCGCCTCCGACGCTGTCGCAGAAGCCGGACAAAACGCTGGTGCCATTTATACAGAACAGGAGGGATGGTTGACACCACTTTGTCCCCCCCCCAGTATTCACCAAGAAAGAGGACCAAAACCTCTCGCACTTTTGTTAAATGTTATTGACCTCCTCTCGCCGAGGACGACTCGGCGAATACGACAATTGTTGTGCCTTTTTAGTATCGCTGGCTTGTGTGGGCGGCACCGCTCTGGAAAAGGGACGGATGGATGACGGGTGACCGGAAGCACAAGACAAAATGTGGGGACGGGAGATGGAAACACGAGGACCGATGGAGCCGAGGAGAAAGTCCTCCAAGGCGAGGAGGGCGGGTGGGCGGGCGGCGTGGTAGCTACCTCTCCTGTGCTGCCTCTTGGCTCTCTTAATTGAGCCGCCGCTGCCGGGGGGCTTGCTGGGCCGGCCGGAGGGGGGGAACTGGACGGGAGGCGCAAGCGGCGGCGGGAGCGCAAATTGCTGGGGCGGCAGATGCTGATGCGGCGGCGGAGGAGGAGGAGGCGGCGGCTGCGGGAGGGGGGCGGCGGCGGTGGTGAAGTGCACGCCCAGTCCGACCGCTGACATCAAAATGGAGGCCATGCCTGGAGCGGGGCAAGGGGGGGGTCGAGGTGGGGCGGGACCAGGGTGGGGCAAAGCGGGTGAGGCGCAGGAGCAGAAAGGAACACATTCAAAAATAAAAACGGATGAGATGGAGCTGCGAAAGGTGCTCCGACCCCCCCAAGAAAAAAAAAAAACAAAACAATCCCCCCCAACTTTCTCCAAATCCCAAAACTATGATGATTTTCTTGTCAAAATAGGCACGCACATTTTGACATCATGCGAAAATGGTTTTCTATGACGCAAAGCCAATTTCAAAATGTGTCCAGTGCCTGCTCATTTATTCTGATTCATGTGAAAAAGTGTTTCGAACATAAAAAATATTGAACTTTTCTTCTTTCTCGGCAGAACACCCGTCATGGCTCCTGAT